TAAATTAGTAGATTGAATTAGTTAGCCTAATAAATAGGATTGTAATAAAGTGGAGGCTTATCAAATCAGGCTTAACTGAAATAAATAGATTAGATTTTACTAAAAATAGCCTTTAATTAACCTAAAATTTTAGTAGGAATGCATTTCGTGTAACAAGTCCTCTCATCAGCCTACATACATACATTATAAACACCAGTATCTATCATAACATAAGTAGAAAACCAAGGCTAAAAGCCTTCTGAAAGACTGATAAGCCTTCCAATTTATTACAACCTTATTTATTAAGCTAACTAATTCAATCTAAATTAAACTTGTGGGCTAGAAGCGTTATTTAATATTACAGTTTAATTTAAATTACATTTTAACTAATTTTTCTTGAAATGTAGAAATACTTTTGATTTATGTAACTTTGATCTTTTATTTTCATTGCATCATTCATTAAAAGTTCACTGTAAGCCACAGTTAGTTTATATTTTTAATAAAATAATTTAATTAAAATTTTTAAAAACTATATAATATTTTAAGCATTTTTTAAAAAGTATTTAAATAAAATTTTCAAATATTTTAAAAATATCCTATAAAAATTATAGGCCTAATACATATATTTTTCTTCGTAAATTATTCATGTAAGAATAGATTTAAGTTAAACGACTTGTTTAACAATGAAGTAATTTCTTTCCTAGAGAAAATGAAAGCGGTAATATTTTAGATAATCTTCTTTCTCGGATGGAACAATATGCTAATAATTTAGAAGCATTAGTTGAAGAGCGAACTGCAGACTATCTGGAAGAAAAAAGGAAAGCAGAAAATCTTCTCTACGAATTACTTCCTAAGTAAGTAAAGCTCTATTTAATTGAATATTAATTATTCACAGAAACCTTGATCTTTCTTACCACTGTTAAAATAAACACAAACAACAAAATCTATACGTCTTAAAGATGTAATTGCAAGTATGTTCGATAATACAGGTAGACCATCGATTTAAAAGATTAATTGGGAAAAGTGATATATGATAAATCGCATGTCTTTAATTAGTACAACATGTACTAAAAGATGTATAAATATAAATAAAATATTATTACAAAATGTATATTAAGTAATTATATCGAAAATTATACAATATAATCGCGTGTTTCCACCACTAAATCTTCTCAGTGAGAAAGAGCTTTTAATTGTGTTTTTCCACCACTAAAGATTCTCACTGAGAAGTTTTAGTGGTGGAAAAACACAATTAAAATCTCTTAGAATGGCGTTATTTGAGAAAAACGGGGTGTTCTAAAATATTTCCTTTAGGACTGAAAAGTTTTGTTAGTTAAATCGAGGGCTTATTGTATTTATATTATTTTATTACGCTGTTAGAACAGGAAATTGAAAAAGATATTAGAATGGAAATTCAAAAGCTGAAACATTTTTGAATCATGCATGCTTGTTATTTTAAGTAAATTAAATTATGAAGATTTTTACACGTTTGATACATTTTACAAATTTTGTACCTTTATAATATATTTACAATTAATAGTTTGTTAATTTTAATTTATTAGACTTTATTAGTAGTTCCTTGCATATAATTAAATTAATTAATACAAAACTTAACATATAAATATATTTATTTAACTGTTAAATACTCAATTATTTTATTAATAGAAAACAACATTAATATAATTAACCAGAAAAAATAATGAACTTTAAATGATTAGCATTAATAAAACAATTTAATTTTATTTTCATGAATTATTAATGATTTATTAACAATAGTCCAAATAATTACCATCATTAAACTGTATTATAATCTACTATGATAATTTACTAACATAATTTGTAATTTAATAAACTAATTTAATAAACTAAATTTAATAAACTAAAATAATTTGTAAATAAAATATAATAATTTCATTTTGTATT